CCATGTCAAAATCACTCTTAACTATGATATAATATACTAGTACTAGTACATAGTACTATGTAATTGTTCTTTGTCCAGATCGTTTATCTCAACATTAAAATTAAAATTCTGTACTGCTGCTACTCCACAAGTGTTCAAGAAATTCACAAGCTCATATGTTTATATAAGTAACACAAGAGTGAAACATTTCAGCCTCAAAAGAAAATAAATAAATGAGGCTTCCATACAATTACATATTTTACCTGGACAAAATATGGAGTACGCAGATTGGAGGAAGCCTTTTGTAGGAAGCGCAGAATCAATTCACCATGGTCCTCAATTACAGGATCAGCTTTGTTCTGACCAGATATTTGTCGCAGAATACAGATGAGATACTGAGAAAATGTCCGCCGAGCCTGGTACTGGCTGCAGTAAAATAATATCAACATTGAATAATTTCACTTTTTCAGACAAGATAAAGAAAAACAACTCTTTTCTCTCATGGTACCATAATCACTTTCAAATATATACTTATTAAAACTAATGCTTCTTTATTTAACAACTGCAGAGATTATACAATATCAGGTCATTATAATGAATGTGGAAAAAGAGGGCATAGATTTCAACTCTATTCCAGCATATGCTTGAAGAAACTGAGAAAAACCACACAAAACTCAGTTAAGATAGTCTCCAAACCAAGATCTGAACCTGTGAACAACAATATCAGGCTTCCACACTGCTGTATCGACACAGACTGTACTGTCTGACGGAAACAAGTGGCAATCTTAATTGCTTCGTTTCTTCCTTCCTCATCTTCTTATCTTCATTGAGTGGTCCGCATACTGGGCTCTCCATGCAAGGTCAGCGGCCATAAACACTGAATTGAGTTCTAATTCAAGACTTATTGGTTAAAGAAAGAAGAAATAATTTGGTCCATTTCTCTTCTCTTCCTTGCCAACAATCTAGTACCTCCTCTCACCAGATTCAAAATAAAAGTTATCAGTTAGTATATACAATGGCTGATACCATGACTCAGAACTAGTAATTTTAAGATGAAATTATCACCTGAGTCTGCTACCATCTTCCATATTCTGAATTACTTCATTTTTCAGTTCTGTCACCTCCTTCCGCTCCTCAACAGCATCAGAGTCATCATTTTCTGCAATGATCCATACAGTAAAAGTGAGTACAGTTTCAAAAACTGCAAAACCTGTGAATAATCTGAATAACAATGCTCTGATGTCAAAACGAAGCAATACTGCAAAGTTTTCTATCAAACTTAAATATCATTTAAGAACGATATGGAAGTTTAAATGCTGTCCTACTTAAAACTATCACACACGAACCCCTTCATGTGCAAAATAATGAAACCAATGGCAATACAGCTGATACACTGTTTTAAATTTGTATGGCCATAATATCAGAAGTTCTGTCAACTAATGAGCACGTCCCACTGGAAAACACTTCCTGTATCTGAAAATGGTATCAGTTTGTGTACTGCTGTCTTATTCAGTACTTCCTTGTCCAGGAAATGATTCTGATGCATAGTAACGTTATGGAATGAACAAACATTCTGATCAAGAATATATCATGATCACACCCGCACACCTTTCAAACAGATGGCACGAGCAGCAGCCTAGCAACAGGGCGACCTTGACTCGAGTGTTGTTCAGGTGATATACCCGTACATGTTTTGACTGTCATAACAAATTTAATAAGTACTCTCACATTTATTGTCGCATTCTGGGTACATCACCCTGTCAAATTGGTTCAAATTAGTAATGTTTCAAAGGAACTTTCAACATAAAATTAATGAAAACTTCATGTCAAAGGGTTTGTATAGGAATATAACATGCTATTATAAACTGTGATGGATTTGAATAGGACAGACAAAAATGTAGCATCTATTCTCATATGGTCACCAATCCAAGTAAGCTACAACTAAAGTTGCTACCAATGGCACGAAGAAACATCACTCATTTTACTGCTTCAATATGGCATGACATACAGAAGAATTTGACTGTAAAAAAACTCATATTTCACTCAAATACTCTTTCAAAATTTTGTGTAAAAATTACAACTTTAAATTTCGGTTGTCTGACATTTACCTCCTCCAGACCTGTCAAGATGCCCTTCATCTAAACTGGCCTTGTGACCTTGAAGAAGGGCTCTCTCATAGCGAGTAAGGCGATCTGGAAGTGGTGCACCATCCATAGCTTTACAAGCTGACTGTAGCTCAGGAAACAGCTGCTGATGAATAAGAAGGTTGTAGTTACGTGGCACCACCATAGGTGGGGCACACAAATGACTCCCAGACACTGCTGAAGTACATGTAATTCCAGTCACTGGATCTGAAGTTCAAATGAAAACCATACAGAAAAGATCAGAATCAATATTACTTCAGTTGATATATTCTATTTGTGTTAGTCTGATCTGGTATACCCTCAATTTATGTTATGTTCTACTAAATCTATATAAATACAATGACATCACCATCACTGAGAATCTCAAATTTCACAATGGTATTAAATTTGTACATGCCTTGGAAGTTACAAAGTTGCTTACTGTTCATCTTGAACATTAGACAGAAGTTTCTGGAAAGATGTATACCAAATTTAACTACAAATATTTTCCAGATGTGTTCTTTGTGGTTTTACATAATTTGAAAATGTATTACCTAGGAAACACCCGTAACGTTTCCAGCTTTCAGCTGATGGGAATATTCGAACAAAGCCACCCCTACGTTCAAATTCTGCACGAACTGACTTGATGATTCGATTTTCTTCCGGAGAGAGTGAAAGAGAACTAGCAATCAACCGTGAAGATGTGACTATCGGAGGTGGCTTCCTTCCAATATTACTGCTGCTACCAGCCAGGGCATCAGCAGAGTGGACACGTCGACACTGCACAGTACATCATCATTATAACATCACACATCATAATTCTTAAGTTACCTTTAAATCAGTAAAAACGTTGTTAATAAATGACTGCATGGTTCAGGGTCTTCCTTAAATACTGGTAGTTTATTTGGATATTCAAGTTCACTGCTTTTATGGAACCTGATAGTTCATAAATCTGTTAACAAAGGGTATCATTGGATCCTGTCTTTATCAAGACTGTGCAATTTGGTCCAGCTACTAACCCCTATTTATCTAAGAATCATTTCAATATAATTATGTCTACAGCTAGATCTGTCAAGCAGTCTCTTCACTTTGAGTTTTCTGACTATAATTCTTCTCTATATGTGTTTCATATTAATGATGATATGAAAGATTTGTCATTAATTCAGTACATTCACAGATGAAACATATTGACACACAGAGTGATAATACTATATTTGTTTACTTCATGTACTTTGAGTAAAGAATGCATAAAAATGGATTGGAATGAGGCAAATGAAGTTCCCCACTGAACTCACCCATAGTAACAAAAATTTGGCAATGACAGCAAAATTTATGTCAAAATCAAAGTACTGGTTCACTGACTTTTAACCCCCAGATATCCAAAATGAAATATGGTACTCTCTAATTTATAACCAACAGTCCATGTCAAATCCACCCCCTTTTCAAGTCAGCCCCAAACTCAAATCTGTGGAAACAAAATGTTAGTCTCCTCTTAATTACAGCAAATAATCTAAGGAATGGGCATCTTTGATAGAATTAAGGCAATTAGAATCAGACTTAATAACATTTAAAACATGTATACCTGCAGATGTTATAATTTCCCCAATGAATATCATGATCACACCCATAGAACATAACGCAGCTGCTGTAATAAACTACAAAAAAATAAAATTCAGAAGACATGCCACAGGACAACTAAATAAAAATAAAGACAAAACATCTATCACAATAACCAAAAGTGATTTCTTTACCTCACAGCGCGGGTAAGAAATAATGGCAGAACCAAGAATCCAACTGGATGCATTAACAACAAGCAAACACTGTACATAAGATAACTTACACTAAGTTTTTTCAGAATATCTAATTGACTTTGAGGCCGGTGACATTCGTTGGCACGACGAAGCATTGGATCTACAGTAGGCAAACCAACTAGAGTCAAGAGATCAACCAACATGGCTGACTTCACTCGAACATCCAGAGGTGAATCACAACCAAGAGACGGAGACAGATTCACTTCCAACAGCCACGGTTTCAGGGTTGAGTCGATCAAAATGTCGAAACCATACAGTTCTGCATTTGGAAAGGGAAGCACATATCACTTTGATAGACAAAAGAATAACTTTTAAGGCACAGACAAGAATAATGGAAGTAATGGAGACAATAACATAACAAAGAGCTTCATAACTCAGTTTTAATTCCAGGAGTAAAGCAACCGGGACTTGAAGCTGAACACTTACTCCCATCTAGTGCTAATAACAATAATAATAGTGTGTAAAGTGTTACCTTTATAGCACTATATACCTTCATGGTATCATGCTTTGGTGCGGGAACAAAAAACTTTTCCTTTGAAATAGATTACAAACACTGGTCAAGATAAAGACCAAAAAATGCAGGAAAGATGATTCTGAGTACTGTACAGGCAAAAGATCCTTAATCTATAGACATAAACAGGAAAAATATATTTCTGAGGTGTTTTTAGTTCAGTTTCACCAGTACAGCATTAACTCCAAGAGAGAAAAGATGGATGCTAAACCACTTTCTCGGCCCAACTATATAATGCAAGAAAAATCAAGGAAGAAATCCATATAAAAGCACTATCATAAACGACCGTGGGCAGTGAACAGAAAAGCCTTAAACTTTAAACTATATCATAATTAACTAGGGGATTTAAACACTGTACTATGGGATGTTTGGATCAGACTTTAACGCCTAGGTTAACAGTTTAACATTATGACAGGGAGCTGCATGACCAGCTAAATTGTGCATAAGCCACGATGTACGAACAAATAAATGTTAATGGAAAGAGACAGACTGAAAGGAATAAAACCATTAAAGGCAAGAGTATCATCCAACAAAGTTATAAAGGAAATGAACATAGGGGCTACAGGTAATCTTTTTAGAGATGACAGTTTCACTTACCAAAACAGTTGCGAGGGTAGGGTACAAACATGCGACAAGCAGATATAATAGGTGGAGCAGATGCTAGGATAGCCTTCACCACTACCTCCTCTATCCTCTGCATCAAGACTGAGGTGTCTGTTCCCTGTGCACGTAAATGCCGCAACAACGCACTCAGAGTCCACTTGTGGCCAACATCCTCTGCATCTGGGTCCTCACTCCTATGACACAAAGAACAAAACTTGTTTAAGCATCATGTTCATTAACATATTTTAAATTGATCCACGCTAAACACAGATCTGCATAACATGCTGTTGATTATGTATATTCTGCCTGCTGTTAAATGTTGGCAATTTTTACCATTTCACCTAGCTGTCACACCCAGGAATACAACGAATATGGACTGTCAAACATGATAATTGGTCAAATTTCTGGTTCTCCTGGAGGCAAGTATGAAAATGACTGTTTTCTGGGATAATCTGCCATGTAGTCTGGTAGAAGTTTACTGACAATTCAGAATTTCTTGCTGCCTCCATCAACAGAGAAACATCATTAAACTTGTACCAGACTACACGGTGTAACAACGAAGAAGACTGCCACCTACATTCACAAAGTGACAGAAACTTAAAATCCTACTCCAAGGCTGTGCTAGAGTGAATACAGTCCAGTACTTGTGAACAAAGAAAACTCACTTGATATAGTCTGAGTGGTATTTGTTTATGCTGTAATTGCACAGATGCATACATGGGTTCCACAGGTGTTTGCCACTTAAGTCATATTTCACAGTCGCAAACCGTACTAGTCCCTCCTCATATAAGTACACAAGGAGAGGGTCATATGAAGTCACAGCCACATATAACCGCAAATCACATTTGTGTCCATCCACCAGCAAAGGATTATCAATGTATTTTGCAACAACTACAGTCTCTTCGAGAGGTACTTGGTCAGGCTGAAACATACAGAACAAAGCAATTAGAATAAAATACACTTGTACAGAAAATGCAGATTAAGGTTTGTAGGTCCAAAGGTTATTTAATGAACGAAAAAATATAATATATTTCTAAGTATCATGTAAGGTGCCAGATGTTTATTTGGAAGGATGTGGGTGGAAGCAGTCTGCCAAATTTCAAGTACTATCCAGGCACTTACCTGAAAAACTGATGAAATCCACAGTAAGGCTAGGCAGTTCCAACACTGAGATCTGAACCAAACACATTACTACTGATTGGCTAGCTGACAAACCAAATTAACCAACCAACAAGAGACTTCCTATGCAGTATTTTCAAAACAGACAATAGATATTAAACTGTTCAACGGCTTTTCTATGCCATGAAGTCTCAAGGTTCATAACTCTCATTACAAAAGCTCACTGACAGATTCTATTCCAAGTTAGTTCAATAAAGTACATATCCTGGCAATTTATAACCCAAAGATCTGTTTTTCCAGCAATAAATTTATATCAATGTATCCGTCTCCATAAAGTTCTCGCAAAATATTTATAAGAATTTCTTGTTCTTGCCTGTGCATGCTATGTCTAATCTATCTGAACCTTCATGAGGTAATCATCTCAGAAATATTACGCAAAAAGTAGGAACTATGAAGCTCCTCATTATCGAGTATTTTCCTTTCCTATGTTATAGCTTTCTTGGGTCCAAGTACTTCCCTCAGATAATTAAACTACAGCAATGTATTATTAGAAGCATGCCTCAAACCCACAGGCACGAAATATCTGTATACCACACAGATCCACTTACACTACTGACAATATAAATACCGCGTCCTCTTGAGGAAGCAACTGGCTTTACAATCCATGGACCACGGTGTCTGTAATGCGATGAACAAAGTTCTCGAAAATCCACTGGCATCACAAATGTCTGAGGAATAAAGTCAAAGTGTTTTGCTCCTTTTGCATGCTGCATCTTCTCAATATTCTTGTACAGACGATCCTTGCGTGTTAGTTCATATGACCTGAATATTTTAACACAGTATCAGATATTGCACTATACTACCATTTGACTTCTACAATACGAACATACCCAAAAAAAGAAAACAACTTTGGAAAATACAAATATATTTATTAACCCTTATCATATGGGAATAGAGGATTTAAATCCCCAAAAATACAAGGCTGCTAGCCAGATTTTAATTCAAAAGTTTAAAAGATTAGCAGCATGCCAGCCAAAGTGCACATAAGCATGGCCAATACAAGTTAATTTGATGCAGACTGAAAAGTGCTTTAAATATTTGGGATGTAACAATTTCCAACTACAATGGGAATAAGTTACATAAAATAACAAATAACATCTTTATCTGAGGAGTAAAACCTAGATCTTCAGACAGAAAAACACACTAAGATTAAAAATAGCACATCAGATTTTTCATTACTTGTAGCAAAAAATAACAATTTTCAAAATGGAGAGACATGAACCTTTTTCAAAAGAGATGGCAACAATTTGTGAAAATATTATCATCCAAATTAATAAACAAATATTTGTATATTCCAATAAATGGGATATTACAATATAATACCCCTGAAGATGTCAAGATCAGTTTCTGAATACTTAAAATGGCATTAGGAAGGAAGAATGAAAAGGAGGGAGATGGATGAGATAAAAGAGAAGGAGGAAAAGAAGAATAAATCATTATACGCATCACAGTCCGCTTCCTTCCTTGTTTATCAGTTTGACCACAACCTTCATGACTGAATGAAACAATTCTAGATTATGGTTGCAGCAGGATTGAGTGTAAGCTAGGAAAAGTTTTCTGACTTTGTCACAGAGACAACACATTTGACCTGACTAGAATTTAAATCCAGAACTACTGAATGTCATCGATAAAACAGTCAGCTGGGAGGGAAAGTAATATCATAAAAGATGTATACTACATCAGAAACTTTATACATTACCTGGGAAAATGATTGACCCGTTGATAAGGTGCCATGGCTTTCAGCAAATGGGGTTTTGGATGGACCCCTGTCCACAGCAGGTTGAAGTCCGGAATGTTTGGATGAACCTGGAGAACAGAAACAACCTTAAATACACAACATACATAAGATGGAATATTTAACAGCAAAATTAAATTACACCTGCCACATTAATTAATTAATTGTAAAGAACATAGCACATGTACAGTATGCGACTGTAATCTTGAGACTTCTTGCAGGAAGTCCGAAGCGTTAAACGCAGACACTATCTTTCCTCCGTCCTCCTCCACCCCACTTCCTCACCCTGCAAGTCACAGGATTACAGTCGCGAACTATAAATGCCACAGCAACGGGTTAAATCCTGTTTTTGTACATAAGCAACAATTTTTATTTGGTTTGTATTGAAAAGACAAACAGAAAAGTTAAGCAATGACTATTGTCCAAAACAATACATAACTGTTATTTTAGGTTCCTACTTTAAGA